TACCTGACAGTAAGTATTGAAGTTAATCGTATGATTTTCTTCTACTTCTTCTTCTTTGTTTTAGTAAAGGATGAACTTTGTTTGATTTTTCGCTAAGTGCCAAGCTACTCAAAGGCCTATCTGTGTTATGCCTAACACGAGTACCGAAACCTGGTTTTTAACGATATAAGGCATCAGACTTACCGCTGAGCCATTGGGGAGGGGGGTTAAAGATTAATATTGTTATTTGAATTTCAGTAGAGGTGAATCAGTGTGTTTGTTTGCTTTGTTTCAGAATTTAAGCAAAGCTACACAATAGATATTCAACAACACCCAACGCGTATTGTAGCTAACAGTGACGGGATATGACTGTCACTATTGTAACTCTCTCCAAAAGTGGAGCGCGTTCTTGCAGCAATCGACTGCGAGCCATGCATCCTCGGACTCGCAGTCTGAACATGCTAACAATTAGTCACTCACAGTCTACACATGTTAACTATTAGTCACTCACAGTCTCAACATGCTAACTGTTAGTCACTCGCAGTCTGAACATGCTATCTGTTAGTCACTCGCTGTCTGAACATGTTAACTATTAATCACTCACAGTCTACACATGCTATCAGTTAGTCACTCGCTGTCTGAACATGTTAACTATTAATCACTCACAGTCTACACATGCTAACTGTTAGTCACCCACAGTCTGAACATGCTAACTGTTAGTCACTCACAGTTTAACATGCTAACTGTTAGTCACTCGCAGTCTGAACATGCTAACTGTTAGTCACCCACAGTCTGAACATGCTAACTGTTAGTCACTCGCAGTCTAACATGCTAACTGTTAGTCACTCCAGTCTGAACATGCTAACTGTTAGTCACTCACAGTCTGAACATGCTAACTGTTAGTCACTCACAGTCTGAACATGCTAACTGTTAGTCACTCACAGTCTGAACATGCTAACTCTTAGTCACTCACAGCCCGAATCTATCAGAGCCGACAGATGTATTTAGCGATTAATAATTATCAAACATTCCTGTGACGCGAGGGCATTAGCAAAATCATGAACAGTTTCTAGTTCAAATATAGTGAGATGTTGATAATTCTAGGCATAGATTCGTAGAGTGTCTTTAACATAGTTTATAACAATACCCAATACATTATTAGAATAACTAAAAATATTACTGTTATTGTTAATACTGGTGTGATTTTGTTTTTCCTATTTTCGTTTGTTTGTCTTAGCGCAAAACCACATTGGGCTATCTCATCTGTTCACAACGGGAAATCGAACTGCAGGTTTTAGCGTTGTAAGTCCGTAAACTTACCGCTGTCCCACCGGTGAACTCCTATTTTCGTAGAGAAACGGCTTTCGGTAGCACAGGGATAGTTTTGAGGGTTTATAACGCTTAAATTCGGGGCTCGATCCTGATTGAACGTAGATAGCCTATTGTACAGCTTTACACTCAAACAAACAAACGAATCATAGAAAAAAATAGTGATTTTTATCATAAATTTTCTTGGTATTAATACTCATTCTAAGGGTTTCGAACTTATTACTGTAACGATCGTTTAGTTCTTCTGTAACTTGGAGTCGCGATCAGAAAACCGAGCTATAGTAATGAAGCATTCAAGTTAATCAATACTTATGTCTAGTTTTGAGATATTTCTGCTGTGAGTTTTAAACGTGGGATCAATCTGGATTTTGCGAGTGTTCACCACACTGGATTAGAGTTACAGGTGTTGCTGAGTCTTATATGACTACAGTTGGTTCCTGGTATGCAGCGTTATCAGAGCGCTCACCAGTTACTACCCATGTATCAAACAACGTTGCCTTGTTTCGTTACTAGAGAGATCCAACGTCGTTGACTTCTTTCCCAGGTGTAGTATTTATCAATTACTACCAATACTTTAGAAACAATGTCCTTGTTTCATTACTAGCATGTTAAAATATTGCCGAACTACTTTGTCAGGCGTAGTGTTCACCAAACTGTAAGTACTGTATTACCAACATGTGTGTGAAGCAACGTTGTCGTGTTCGATTACTAGAGCGTGCCAATGTCGAACTAGTTTACTAGGCGGAGTGTGATATATCGTCCACTAGCCAACACGGCCGAGGATGTAAACACGTTGTGTTTGCGCGCCATTGTCTACTAAGCACGTTATTTATTTATTTATTTATTTATATTTTTTTGGCTGCAGAAAAGCCTTGTTTCCACCCTTACTGCATGGCTCCAAAGTGGCCACCTAGTGATATTACAATGCCCCATGACAAGGAAAATAATTAATTTTGGCACTAAACTGTTTAATCCTTTGACATTCTTACATGCATGTTTTGTGTAGTATAATGTAGTTAAAAAAGCCATGTTACAACTTTCAAAAAGTTATTCAAGAGTGGAGCGAAATTTTTCAGGAACGCATCCCCAATAATACATCTAAAGATTGTTGCTTAACGTCGTTTCAGACGTAAGTCCCACTTTCCAGGAACGTGTAACGGGGATTGTTGTTGTGGATTTCGCGCAAAGCTACACGAGAGCTGTCTGCGCTAGCCATCCCTAATTTAGCAGTGTAAGAATAGAGGGAAGGCAGCTAGTCATCACCACCTACCGCCAACTCTTGGGTTACTCTTTTACCAACGAATAATGGGGTTGACCGTCACATTATAACGCCCCCACGGCTGAAAGGGTGAGCAAGTTTGGTATGACGGGAATTCGAACCAGCGACCCTCAGATTGCGAGTCGAACGCCCTAATCACCTGGCCATGCAGGGCCAGGTGCAACGGAGTACTTGTGTAGTTGTGTCATTAACAACTTTAGCATAATCGAGAACAGAGATATTCCAGTGTTCTTGTTCTTAATTTCGTTTATTAGAGAAAAATAAATACAGTTAAGATCAATACATTATTATTTGGAGTGCCAATAGGACTAACCCCAGTATTATTTAACAAATCTAGTATAAACCCAAAGCCATTGTGAGAGGCTTACAATAATGCTTAGAAGTGATATAAACATAAGATCTATGAGAAGAATAACAGAGCATATTAACCAGAAGATAATTTAAATCAAACCTTTGAGTCATCGTTTTGATGACCTCTTTTCTTGTTATTCCAAGATTTATTGTTGGATTTACCGCTGAAAACAGTTGGTATAGATTTCATCTTTTGACTTTCCAGAAGGGGGTTCAATTCCTTCGTCTGAATAGTCATTAAAAGCAAGGTATTCAAGAAAAACTTCAGCGAATTAACCAATTAGTTGAAGACTCTTGTCGTCACTTTTGTCATTGTCTTTTCCTTATACGTTATCTTTAATATTGTTAGTTGAAGACTGTTGTCGTTGTCTTTTCCTTCCACGTTATCTTTAATATTTTTAGTTGAAGACTGTTGTCGTCACTTTTGTCCTTGCCTTTTACTTCCACATTATCTTTAACATTTTTAGTTGAAGACTGTTGTCGTTGTCTTTTCCTTCCACGTTGTCTTTAATATTAGTTGAAGAATATTGTCGTCACTTTTGTTATTATCTTTTCCTTCCACGTTAACTTCAATATTTTCTCTAGCTTTTTCATCGAACACGAGCTGATTATTTTCTTCTTCACTATTGTTGTCTTCTGGTTCATTAATTCTTTCTTCAACTTCCTTACTGACGTCATTCTCTTCATCTTCAGTGGGTGCTGCTTTGGCAACCCCGCAGTGCATACAGTTGATCAAAATTAAATTGCCAGTCTCGAACATTATAATTACCGTGAAATCTAATTCACCTTAACACCAGATTTGTAGGCATGTCTTGAAAAGCCAATTCGGCTGTCAAAACTAAACACCATTTAAAAAATAGAGTCTGTTACCACTTAGGTGTATCCAGTCGAAATAGCCTTTACATAGTGAAACTATGTCAGTCAACAATTCGATCATATAAAGAAACCACAGGTCATAAGAACTCAGTCAACAACTTGACCATTGTTACAAGTGGATTTACAGACTTCAGCCTAAATAATTTACAAACATCATTCTAACTAAAACTGTTCTATTTAGTATAATGGCAAGTAACCATCAACCAGTATTTCACATATCCTAAATTGCAACTAATGTATTATTATTTAATATATAGTTTATACTTGAATAAAGAAGCACATTGTGCTAATATAATATTAAGTTGGCAACCAACGATTTGTAAGCATAATGAAATGATTTTTATTTAACATACTACACATTTCAATAGAGAATTGATCTGTAGTATGTTCTCCCCAAAATAAATCACTTCATTATGCTTATAAATCATTGTTTACCAACATGTTATTCCAGAGAACAGTACAAATCTAGTGCTATTCAATGTAGAAAGAATGTAAGCCAAATATTTTCAATGAAACGTACTCAGAAAGAAGTTCTTACCTATCATAAGACAGGTTTGAGATTATTGTAAAGCTTATCAAAGAATCACTATTCCTCTTTAAAATAGCACAACTGTGAAAGATACGTACAAATAGAAACCCTGTATTGTTTTAAACACAAAAGGTCCCTTATTTACTCACTTCTGTCTTATTTTTAATTGCAGTGTCTTATATCATTATAAAGTGTAAGTCACTGTAACTATCTTTTTCTATACTTGAAATGTCTTAAGTTGCGAAGTTCGGTTTAACCAATTTAAATCTAGGCGCCATAAATCATTGTACCGAGCACTCGAAATAGGACACTCGAAAAATACGTAAAGAGCTCCAAAAGATTGAGAAACACAGTGTAAGATAATACGTATTAGTTCTAAAAACGAAGTGAATTACATCTCAACGTGAAATTCTGAAAAAGGTATGTGTGTTGGTAATTTTGTTTGTTGTCTATATGCGCTTAGACATCCCTAATTTTGAACTGACAGACTTAATACATCAAATAACATAAGTTAGAAACTATACCAACGACAAATCATTTCTCTAATTTTTCAAGTTTGTGTATTTACCTTTTTAAGTATAATGCACAATTAAAGACATTCTTTTGATTTGATTTGATTGACTTTTTTGAATGCTTGTTTTTTTACTGAATATTCAGGGTATTCTAGAACCCCACAACTGTCGCGACTTTTGGCCAGCCTACAACAAAAATATGGAAATCTCTTCACGTCCTGGGGTTGTGGCAAACCTTATATTATCGTCAGCGATTGGGACCTAATGAAGGAAGCACTGGTTTCCAAAAGAAACCACTTTTTAGGGCGACCTCAAAACATTACTGGTAAGATTAATTTCTTGTCTTCATTTGTCGTAAAATTGCAAATCAAATTATTAAAAAGAATTGAGTGTTTGGTGACATTATTTAATTATTTTTGTAACTTCATGAAATGAATGTTGTCTCCTAAATACGGTTTACGTTATAGCAAGGATGATGAATGCTGGCTATGCGAACCTCGTTTTTATGGACTACGGACCAGAGTGGGAAGTCCTTCGCAAATTGGTACATTCTGCGATCAGGTGGGAAATTATGTAATTTCTATTTATATAAATTAAATTAATAATGAATTATATACTAAAAGCAGAAGAACTAGTCATCTTGAGAAGTTTTATAACATTGGTACTGGCTGCAATTAGGTGGTAACTCGTGTAAGTTATAACTCTAATAATTTTTATTTGTAATGTTTGTTTTGTTTTTAATTATGCACAAAGCTACACAAGGGCTATCTGTGCTCTGCCCACCACGGGTATCGAAACCCGGTTTCTAGCGTTGTAAGTCCGCAGACATACCGCTGTGCCACTGGGGGGCTTATTTGTAATGATTCTAATAGTTATTGCAATGTAAATGATAGTTCGTTTTTTTATATATGCGAAGTGCTGACAGAAATACATTATTTGAAACATTTGATAAGAAGAAACGACTTTCAATTTCAGAAGAAAAAAAATATTTAATACCAATATTTCAGTTTGCATCTTAGTCAGGATATAAAGCAATACAAAAATTGAGTGCACATAGCAAAATAGGTTAAAGCTTTATATATAGAATATTCTAGCAATTTCTTGAAGGATAAATTAATACTTTATATGTAGAATATTCTAGCAGTTTTCTGAAGGATAATTTAAAGCTTTATATATATAGAATATTTTAGCAATTCCTTGAAGAATATATGCTGTTTTTTTATTGTTAATAAAAATAATATTACGGTAATTACATCGCGTTATTTGATAGCATGTGACAAAATCAGTCTCATAGAAACAGTGATTTATTGTTCTTTTGTGAAATACTTTTAGGTTTTTGGTTCTAAGTTCCATGACTCAGGTCGGCGTAAGCAAAGTCAGTGTAGGTTTGTGAATAAATTACCTGTTCATAGCGAAAGGTGTAGCCCCCCCCCCAGTGGCACAGCGGTATGTCTGCGAACTTAAAGCGCTATAATCCGGGTTTCGATACCCGTGGTGGGCAGAGCACAGATAGCCCATTGTGTAGCTTTGTGCTTGATTACAAACAAACAAAAGGTGTAACCTTAACAAATTATCAAATAAGGAATTCTATGCGTCCATATATTAGTAGAACCTAAATTGTTTTATTCTAACAATCATTTATCTAGTGAATTTCTTAGCAAACCTGTAAGTCATGTATATTAATTCCTAAATAATTCAGTTATAAGTACAATACATAATATTTGATGTCAGAAGTAGGATTTGACAGTAAAGGATCACTAAACTCTGAAGAACAGCACACAAATGTGAAACACTTTGAAGGCTTTCAGACAGTGACGTAAGAAATCGAAAAGAAGAGCTGAAAAATAAAATAGAAAATAATAGAACGAAATCAAAACTTAACGAGAGACGTGGCTGGGAAATAGAGGAATATGATCACCATTTCATAGAGGATTTGAAACATCCTGACAAAGAATCAAGAATGTGACAAAAATGTGGAAGTAGGATAGTCCACTTAAAAATAATTATCAAACATTGAAGGACAATGTGTTCAAGGCTGTAGAATCGGGTTCACTGTCACTTAGGACATTAGAGGGTCATTCATTGCCAGCACCAACCTGATAACCCTCAGTTTTGTTCTTCTGATATCGTTAATAAACCTTTACTTGTGATTACAAATGTACAGCTTTCCAGAACGTTTTCTAATAATTTGGTCAAGTTTATGTTTATGTTAGAATAAATGTATTTACTTTAATATTTTCCACTTGCAACGCCGATAATGTCTGAGGCTTGAATGGCGCGCATATATATATATGTGTACATACATACATATTAAATTATAGTGTGTATTGCAGCCTGTTAATTTTGTAATATTTATATAACGATTTTAAGTTTGACTTTTTCATAACAAATCCCACCCTCGAAAACATGGTATTCCCCTTGATACAATCAATGTCTGGCGCGAGGCCTGGGTTTAATAAATTTTTGATGTTAAAATTATTTTTGTTTGAAATTAAGCACAAAGCTACACAATGGGCTATCTGTTCTCTTCCCACCACGGGTATCGAAACACGGTTTCTAGCGTTGTAAGTCCGCAGACATACCGCTGTGCCACTGGGGGGCGATGTTAAAATTACTGACTTCTAAGAAAATGTACGAAGTGCCGTTGTAGGCCTCATGAAGAAGATACAGTACGGCTATAACGATGTTAAGAGTTTTGTGGAAACCATTGGCTTCATACTTACAGCTGTTAAATAATCTATAGATGCCGATATTATTGTTCTAAAAGGAGATTGTGAAAGATCAAAAGTTTTCTGACAGACAAAACAAGAAAATAAACAGATCCACAATGCGAGTAGTGTTAAAGTTGTTTCATTTGTTTTTTGCCGAATGTTAATATTATTTTTCGAAGTGCATTTGTGCAATACAACTTGTAGGGTGGGGGGGGGGGG